CTCTTAACGCCAAATATTAAATGTGGAATTTTTTCCACTGAAAGAAAAGCTACTGCCTGTGTAACAGTTTGAGTCTAGATTGAACCGTGGTAGTGTTGCATGATCACCTGAAAGCTCCTTCAGACTGTTCTACACCCACGGAAAACATCAACATCCCTGAAAAAAAAAATCTGATCTACAGGTAGGCTCAAAGATTGTACAGTTGAGGTAAAAGTGAAATTTCCATTCAGAAAACAGATTGTGCATTGTAATAAAACCTTCCACCAGAGGGCGCTCTTATCACAGAAGCTATAAGGCTTAAGACTGCTCTCCTGGCTTGACTAAAAATGGTTATTGATTAGAGGAGAGAGTCACATTTATCTGATTGTCTGTGGTTATTACAATCTTAAATGGTCTTTGTGAAGCAAGAAGAAAAAAACATTTTATTGAGTTTTTTTCTGCATGGATGACAGGATCCTCTGATGAGAAGCAGTCTGCCAAAGCTGAGGTCCTTGAGGTAGAAAAGGGGCTTTGGTTGTGGATGAAGGGATGTACGAGAACATTTTTTAGAGGTATGGGCTGTAATATTGTCTCTTGATTGTCGCTACCACGCAATAAAAACCCCCCATAAAAATCAAACAAACATACCGACCTTCCCTGAAAATACTGCCATACAGAGAAGGAGAGAGGGAGAGAAAGGAGCTGAAGTGCCTCCACTGTTCAAATGCAAATATCCAACAGAAGCAGTCAATAGATATGCAATAAACATGGATCGACCAATGGGGGGGCAGGTGCTTTAATGCTGCCTTGGGAGCTGAAAGGTCAAAGGGTGAAACCTTAAAAGGCAATGTTGATCCTTTAGATCAAGATTGATTAAATTTAGTTTCCCTCCCCCCCTCACAGACATTCAATCGAAGGCTGGCTTTTTGATTGTCAGCAATGTGGCTCCTGCAGTGGTAATTCTGGGCTTTCTATGACCGTTCAGAATGATTCACTTTATTGTGAGGCTGGGAAGAGAGAATATGGAGAATGTACAGATTAGTGCTGCAAATAACGATTATTTTGCAAATAGATTAATCTATTTTTTATTCTTTCGATTAGTTAGTTTCTGTTAGTTGAAAATAAAACTTTTCCCATTGAGGAGTTCTGGATGTAGCATATTGACAGAAAAAAAAGTTTGTTCACCTTAAATGCAAAATTTCTATGTGTTTTTACAATTTTGATGTAATTACTGCTCCGAGTGGGCTGCTCTGTCAGCTTAAGGCATGTTTTAGAGTCTCTATGATCCAGTTAACGATTAATCGATTAATAAATTGAAGATTTCAATAATCAATTGTTTTAGCTCTAGTACAGATTCTTTTCTACATGGATGTTGAATTGAAAGGTACTCATGGGTAGAAAAAGTTTAACTGAATATGCAAATTTTTGCAAATAATTTCAGAAATGACTTTTACCGTAAACCAGTAAAATTATAAAAGTACAATTTTTTATAGGAAATCATCTGTACCAGAAATGGGCTTACATGTCTGCCTTATTTAGAGAAATAAATTCTAGTTTCTATATTGTGTCTTGGTCAAGATTTTTTATTTGTTACGTTTTCAGCGGCAGTTTACGGGTCTTTGTTCTCCTGAAATGTTCGCTCTCATACATTAGCTTTAATAAATGGGTGAACCCAAGTCCTTGGATATTTGTGGTCCCATTAACTATGACATTTAAATCAAGTTAAAGAAACTTGATCAATAAAAGATCAATAATAGTTTGAGTTCGACCTCAGGTCCTGTTTTTAATAAGATAATTTGATTTGTTAAGAGAAAACCTCTGCCTCAAATACAGAAAAAAAACTTCATTCTGCATCAACCACCTGTGATGCCAGGCTGGGTTTATACTATCTTTACAAAAATGGTCATTCCCTTTAAATAAAATGGAAATCATGAAGAAAACACCAACATTTGCACAAATAATAAGCAAAGGTTGGAAAGACAGTTAAAATTTTAGTGCTATAAAATCTAAATATCTGCTTGATAGAGACCACTGTACCACCCACCTTTATTGATAGCACAGATAAAGATGTTTAAGTCTTATAGAATATATTTTTTCTTCTTTTTTAGCAGTAGCATAATTCAACAATGTAAAATTGAGAGAAATTCAACAATTAATTTGAGTACATTGCTGAAAAAAAAAATACCCAAATGCAATGAGTGCACTCAGAGTAATTACTATTAAATACAAATAAGTGGAACATTTTGTAAACCACATAATATTTCAGGTTAATTAGCTTGTTAAGGAGCATGATATTTAATAATCCACAACCTCCTGTGTCCATGGGATTTAGATGTGCTCCAATATAAATAATTAACAACAAGAGCTTGTGGTTTTTGTGAAATGAAATGTAGACAGACTGTTGGGAGTCTGAGTGGCGGACGGTTTTATTCAGACAATGTTTTGCAAGCTACAATAAGGAATTTACAAATCACACAGGGAGTGATTATCCAGTAAAAAGTGAGACTGGCATAATCCCTGCATGGCTTACAATTTAAAAGTACTCTATTAAATATGTTGTTTGGACTCCGTTGGGCATCAGGGTAACAATGCAGGGCAACACTGGAGCAGAAAATTTTAAAATCCAACTTTATGCTGCCATATTTATTGTTTTCTTCATTTAAAGCAGCCTGCATGGTGACTATGCAGAAGAAGAGGCTCATCAGCTGTTCCATTCTTTTCTACGGTACTAGTTTGCAATCAGAGTGCTTTTCCTTCCCTAACCTCAAATAATTATCTCATAAACTCAAACTTTGTGCTCCAACTCCTTTTGGATTTAGTGGACATTGTGTTATGCATTGAGGTTTACATTCTGACAAACTTCCAGCTGCCTTGGTTTTTAATTTTTATTTTGGACCCATCTTGTTCAAATATGATCCCTATTTAAAAATAAAAAGATTCTAAATTTTTATGAAAAGCCCCTAAAGATTGTCTAAACATATGTTTTTTTTTTTTTTTTTACAGATTTTGTGTGTCTTTACCATCTTAAACGAACTGATTGTGACAAAACTTCTTGTTAAAACCATGCTACTTTTTGAACTACAGCAGGATTAGGGGATTTTAATCTTTTTTGTTAACTTAGATTTCTTATTGAGTTGCTTTTGAAAAGTGACCAGTGTTTGTTTAGCAGCTGGTGGTGATGTCCCACAGAGAGGCGGGTAGAGAAATCAAAGCCCTGAAAGCCATCTGGTGATATTTGACTGAACAGTAAAAAGTGATTAGGTGGAGGTACTGCTCACTCTCCGGTCACCCCACGCTGTGTTAAGGCCTCAGATCGGAACCCGCATACAAAGCCTGATTTACTCCCCAACGTCAGGAGGGGAGCAGGACGCTTGGTACAGATGTGGCCCTGAGGAGCTGAGTAACAATCTTTAGCCAACTGTGCAGAGGAGTAACTAACTGAACTACTTCAAGATGCAGAGACACTACTTACTACCAACCAGTGCCTCTTCTGTCATAAATCCAGCAGAGTTTGCAACAGTGATAAGACACAAGCAACATAGAGCCAGCAGAGAGGGGCCGGTCAAGGAACAGCTGCACAGTTGGAGGATTCCAAAACAGCCACTGCTGTAACCGCTGCATCTCGCTCACAGCGCCGGATAAGAAGCACTTGGATCAGAAGAAGCACTGTGACGTGCAGAACAAAAAGCAGAACGGAAATAAACATAAAAGCATCTGTGATCAACTTTATGAAAGCTCGTTAAAGATGAGCAGAAAACGCCTGTCTGGTTTCTCCTAAGGCTCAGGGTGTGTCTCCTGACACCTGATTGTCCGTGTGAGTTTCTCCCCCATGAATAACAAGGATTGAGCAAGTCAAAGACGGAAAATTGCTTAATTTATGATTGAAGGATCTTTGTCTACAAATCATGCATGAAACTGACCTAAAGTGTCTCTCCACAAGAAGGCAAAGTCAGAAAGAAGAGGGGAAAGGGTAGAAAGCATTACTCTGTCCAGTGTAATTGAAGACAGTTGCCGTAAATAAAAAAATCATACAAAGCAAAGAGACACCTGAGAAAAATCATAACGTGTGTTATCTTGACGAATGAACCTAAACTTGTGTTTTTTCGTTAATTTATACCAACTGCACAATGTACCCTTGTGCTCCAGAGAGCCATTCTGAGGACTACGTATTTACGACGTATACGAGTCTCATACTGGCCACATGTCAACATGCAGGAGCAGATCTGAGATACAAACCAGCCACAGCGGTCTCTGGAAGAACGAGCACACAAAAAGGAAAAAAAAACAGCTACGTGCAGATGTGTGCCACCTCGGGTCTGGCTGGGATTGATAATGCACCAAAAGTCCTCCAGGTGATTAAAAGATCCCTGCATGTTCTTCAGTTTCACTTAAGACTGTGTGGCAACGATAAGAACCAGAATGCAGGCCTGCACTAGCCTCGTCCTCCCACAGGGCTGCCACGTTAATAAGGTTATCTGGTTTTACAACAGAATGAGGTCACAGCCACACCATATATTTATGCCCTGAAGGAAAAAAACAAACAACAAAAAAAAAAACATACCTTTGAAAGCTTCTCTGATTAAAAATAGAGGATATTCATACTTCTTTTTTCATAGAATTCTAAATATATAGATTACTTTTCCTGCAATGAGAAGATCGTTAAAGATTAAAACAATAAAACACAACAAAGAGAATAACAATAATGATACTAATGACAATGAAAAGTTAAAATAATAAAACAAAATCTCTCCTCTAGAAGATATAATGTCATTGTCAGTCAGTAGCTGTGTTTGTGTGTGTAAACAATGCTTTAGCCTTCCTAGTTATTACCTTCTCTGTTGTTCTCCAGTAATCTGTACATTTATGCAGAAATAAATAATTCACAGGTTGTGCACAAGTTTAGCATATACTGGCTCTCAGTTGGGATTATTTCGTTTCAAAATCCTTTTGGCGATGAAGAACAAAAGAGGTGAGTTTGTGAGAGAAAACCTGAGATAGTGTACTTCAAGTGAGTTGAGTTTCAGTTTGTCTTTCTGTACTGATGATGGTTCTTCTCTTTTCTTTTTGGCATAGATGATGTAGAAAATGAGGTTGCTTTTTGGCTTTTCTTAGCGTGGTAATAACAATAAAAAAAAAAAAAAATTAGGAGGGGTTTGTTAAGACAGTGGGGTGTTGGAAGCTGAGGTAGGTGTGTTTTGCTGCTGCTGCTGCTGCTGCTGCTGCTGTGGAGCAATACGACTGCTGACGGGCTTGTTGGAGAGGGATGACACAGACGCACTGGACGAAGCTGACCCTGCTGCTGCCTGAGCAAAAAGAACACCTAGACAGGAAAAGGACAAAAACGGAACCATCGATCACTGTTAGAATCCACAGAACATCAATTTCAATCCAGTCCTGAGCAAGACTTAGCGGAAGAGTGAATTTTAAGGACTTACTGAAGAAAACACACTTAGAGATGGGATGTCTAGCATTTTTTTTTAAACCTCTAAGTTGAGTTTAGCAACATATGCTGGAAACGGGGACACATAATAAGCAGAATAACCTCATTTTTTTTTTAATTGACATGGATTGACACTGCAGGGTTATAATCAGCAGGATAAACAATAACTGCTGATAAACGCAGCGTCATGATGAGGTGTGTTCAGTGGTGTCGCTCAGGGGAAGTTAGGTTAGCAAAAGACAGCTTACCAGCATTTCTAACGCTGTGTGAAAGCTGAAGTACATATATGTTCAAATACAACTTTGTTTTATATTTAAAATAAGACTTAAATGAAGGAAAGATAAAGAAGTGTTAATATTTGCTTATATAGCATTGCATCACAGAGAAGAACATTTGTTAAATAGTTCAAATAAGCTCAACAAATGCCATCTCTGAGCCATGGCCATCTCTTGTTTTTTCATTACAAGTCCAAATGAAACTGTACAAAAATGAATTTTGAATTTTTGAATTTTCAAAGGGGCAAACATTAGAACTTAAAATAAAGTTTTTTTTAAATAAATGAATCATTAAAAGGATAAAGGCAACTTTATTTTCAAACAATATATCCAAAGCTCAAGCGTCTTGAGATCATTGTGAGCAATATCAGACCTGATTGGCCAGAGGCTGAAGAAAATTGGTAATTAATATTGGCCTGATTAGTCCATCTCACCTTTAAACAATATTTTTATGCCAAAAATCAAATCTATGTTAAAATATTACAAAAATACGGCTAATTTAAATGTTAATTTAAAGAATATGTCTGATACTGTAACAAGCAAACCTCCAAACTAAATATGTTGAAGATGAAGAAATGGACTGAATTGAATTGAAAAGATAAGGATAATAAAGCTGTGAGGTCGCTGAATCGTTTTTTTAAGCTTCAGATAAAAACTTTGGTGGAAATATTTGCAGGATGGTACACATTTGCATCAAGAGTACTAGACCTTATTTTCATGCAAAGAAAAAGGGTGCAGTCATTTTGATGCCTTGTCTGTGACTTGGAACACTTTTCTTTTCAAACTGATAAAACTAATTGTTAATATACACAGAATAATAACGTCCTGTTTTTAAATGAACCGAAGAAAAAAGGGAACAAGGTTGATCCACTGAGCTGAATTTTTTTAAACCCATGAAGATTTTATTGTATATCTATCCAAAATATCTTGAAGTTAAAAGCATGCAGAGAGGAAACAGTGTAGAAATTTCTCCTGAATGAAAATCAAATTAAGAGGCAAAGTAATCAAAAAGGAAGGAAGTGATGAGCTGTACATCCTGTACTACATCAAAGAGGTACTCACCAGTGTACACCACTCCATTGAGCTCCACTGACATGCTGATGCTGTTTGTGCCGTTTGTGGTGAGGTTCAGAGCAGACTCTTGCCTGCCATCTGTCAGGAAGACAATAGGTTAATTCTTTTGTTTGCATTTTTTTTTCTTCATCCCCAAACAGGGTTTAAAATTTCCAAAACATAAAGTGTCCATTTATCTAACTTGGCAAAAACACCTTTTGTGTGATCTGTTTTATAAAAAAGAAATCTCCATAAGAACGTTTCTCTGAAGTCGCCAGTTTTATCGCATACTTAGAAACAGTTTGCGTGTTCCATCAGATAGTCAGAAACCGAGTCAAACCTTCGCTATAAGATCAAAGACGCCGCTTGCAAAAGACAATCCCCAACAAAGATAAACACACACATGTACAGCATGTATGCATGCATGCTGCTCCTATAAGCTAAACAGGTCAACATACAGGCCTGCTGTTAGCTCTTTCCCTACTGCTGGGTGCTGCGGTTTGTGGTGAGATGAGAAGAGAAGAATGTATTGAGATGGTAACTGTTGCAAAGAGGGAAGATGGGTGGAATCCAGAGATCATAAACAAAAAAGAGAATGGAAAACAAAGGTGTGTTACAGTAGCAGAGTAAAAGAAACAGGTACGCTGCATTCCAGTGTGTGTATTTATGTCTGCAGTGCTTCAGCAATTTTACATTTAAAGTATGTTAATGCAAGTTACCCAACAGCAACACCACACACTTATAAATTATGCACCCATGTTGGGGGGAAATTTATTTTTCATAAAAGTGTCTTTCCATGCGAGACATTTAACAGCACGGTTGTTACATCCACTGTTTTTTAACCAAATAGGTAAATTTAAAAATATCTATGGCTACATGGAACATCCAATACAAACCCATCTGAATACTTTATTTAACTTCTTGAGCCCATCTGACATCTGCTCATGTTGATCTATTTATAGAAATGGCCAAAACACAGTCACATGGTGTTTATATTTCAAAATAATTTTTTTCAAAAATACTTTTTGTTTTATAGCCTTGAAAAACTGCAAACCAGGTTTGTCCCACTACACCTGTGACTGATGATGGGGACGTGTAATAATTATTTTGCAAATTTTTTGACAAAAGCTTCGGATTCTATTTGATTTTTACATTGTTGCACAGTTTTGGATTTCTAATTCTTTTTTTTTTAAATAAAATATCCCCGTTTGGTGACAAAAATTATGCAATTCATCGTATTTTCTATTCAGCTTGATGATATTATTGTGTGTTCAATGGAAAATTTCAATGAAACAACAACTGTATCTTAGGAGCAAAGGGTTATGCAGAAGATCTCCAATAATGTAAATCAGCATATTTTTTAGCCAGATTCCCATATATGGGTGAAAAAGTGCCTTTCTCACACTTTGACCACATCACATGCTTCAACTTATTCAGTTCAAATTTGCTTAAGTTATAGTCAAGATGTGCATATACAATGTCTGAGGGTTCATCCAGTTTCAAATGGGGTTTCATGGTGTTCTGCAGTGTTTATTTTGTGATAAATATTTTTCTTTTTTCTTTATTTATTCACCTATAAATCAGGAATAGCTATATTTACAAAAGTGGTTCCACTTGAAATATATTCTTTAATGCTTTTCTGTCATACAAATACAAACAATTGTATTTCTAATGTATAGTTTGGGAGCTGCACTTGCTTTAATTCGATTCTGTAATTTCAGGCGGAATTTGCTCCTAAAACCCTCTGGGCTTATGGGGTTAAATAGAATCGTGAACTTGGTCAATATTTTCAGCTGTGCATATAAGTTTCTTCAATGTATGGCTGATGTAACTTATTTTTGTAAAACATGTTAGCTAAGCTTGCTTTTTTTTTAAATGTGCTTTCTAAATAAAGTAATTCTCATGTCTAAAGATGACCCTTTATTATTTCTACTCCTTATACTTCCATGTTTTTGGAAAGCAAAGTCCTCCTGCAGCAAAACAACTCAGACATGTTGCTGCTGCCCCGTACAGAACACTTGAGGTGATTTTCTCAGCCTTGCAAGCTTCCTGTTTTCTCTCCAAATGTTAAAACAGTCCTTATGGCAAACCACTACCAACAGGTAAAAGGTGATATAACCTCACCTTGAAGTATTTTGTAAAAGCAGCTAATGTTGCTTCTAGTTAACTTTTTAGCCCACGCTGATACAGGACTGGTTGCACTGTAACTGCGCTATCATACTAGTTTAAGTCAGTCCTTTTACAAGGTCTTCTGCTTTTATTCTTTGCTGGATTCTAATATTTCAGATATTTCTGGGACTCAGAACCGATTTTCATCCTGAATGGTGAGATTATTGGACATTCTCATGCTAATTATGTTTGTCCAATCCAAGGGGGAAGCAGACTTGTACAGTACTCATATATTATTAATAAAAAGCTTAGAAAATCATGACGTCATCACAAACCATTTAAGGGAGAGTCAGAATGCATAAAAATAAATCTTTCTCTCTTTATTACTCTGACATTAAGACAATAGAAACCATGTTGGTAATCATTAACCTGACCTGAAAGAAAAATACTTCCTCTATATATATATGCACAGATCCATCTGATTAACCAAATGTTTTATATTATCCAGCTCCAGGAAACCTTAACAAAATGTCTGCCTGTTGGGTTGGGTACCTTGATTGTTTATGCGGATGTTCATAGGTATCTGAGCAGTCATGGCCAGCAGGTTGTGTTGCAGAGCTCTTTGCAGCAGCCGGTGGTGCTCCTCTGCAGGCAGGGCCATCTTCTTCTCAGGGGGCTCACCTGCCTCCAGTTTGTCCCTCAGCTGCTCCAGAGCTGCCACCTGAGCTGCCATCGCTGCCTGGGCTGCCGCTGCCTGCACGGCGGCCACTGAGTGACCAGGTATGGGACCCACTGGCAGACGAGGGATACCGACCCCCGGCAGCGGCTGGCCTCCCTCCTCTTCTGGTGCAAGAGTGAAGTGGTGTCAGGTAAAGTCATATCCATCTAAATATTATATGCTGTAATATTTATAACAGACCTCATAGCCGATTCAAAAAAGATAATAATTACATAAACTAGATGTCTAAGAATTTGTGTAAAGAGCTTGACTCAATCTTTATCAGTGTTTCTGTTTCTTAAGGAAAACAAATGCATCATTCATTTGCTTACGTCACCTACTATTAAAAATAGCTCCTACCTTTCTTAATCTTCTGCATGGGGGCCAACGATGCTCCGTTGGTGCCCACTGTCAAGCTCATGCTAGGCGTAGAGACTTTTGGGGAGGATAGCATGGTGGGGGTCCCGTTGGGGGAGTATGTGAAAAGGGAGCTGCCGAAGCTCTGCCGTCTGCCTTCTCGTCGATTGCTGTCGATGGCTGCCTGGAGCTCATTGGGGTTGCTCAGACCTCTTTTATCACATTCATATGGGTACAGGTACTTCATGTATCTGAAAGTAAAGGGACGTGTAAACAGTGGTTTTATAATGGTGGAGTAAACCATGAGGAGTAGAACTTTAGAGTAAAAAAAATGACCTAAAATAAATAAAAAACGTCTAATAGATTTTCTGAAGTTCAGTTCAGCCAAACTGACCAAGAGAAATACATTTAATGTGACAAAATGTGCCAAAATGGGCATTAGCATTTTTCCTGGAGGTTAGGATGAGATCTGATCTCATCTCATTTTAATATCCTCAAGGACATCCAATAGTTAGAAATGACTTCTAAGAAGCAGTTAATTTGAAAAACAAAGTGGCTGTTGACATTAGATCACCATCATCTGCAGGACTGTGAAGCAGTCAACAGAACAGGGATTAAAGGATTTAAGCTTTGACAGGTAATGCAGAGTTAGATCATGAAAAAAGTTGAATCATGTTCACTTAGCTATGTCGGTTATCGCTAGAAGGGTGAATCCAAACAAAAAAAAAAAAGAAAAAAAAAGCAGAGGAAGGTAAACTGTGTCCCATGTGTACTGACTGTGTGCGAAGAGTGAAGGCTGCACTGGTGATTGAGGTAGGCAGGTTAAGTCCCTTGGTAATCTCCCTCCACAGTTTCTTGTTGATGACCTCCACCAAGCCGCCCTTCTCTGTCACCAGCTTGTAGAGCATGTACAGATCCAGGACCTGTTTGGCCATGATGGGAATGCGATTCACGGGTGTTCCTGGTTCAATACAAACAAACATGAGGGGAGAAAGGTCAACTGATTAAAACATTGCAAAAACAGAAACAGGCTAAAATTGATGAATTTTAGAAATTCTGTTAAACACCAATGTGGGAAATATATTGATGTTGTAATGCCAAATCACCTGCATCTTTTTAAAACCTAAGCAATAACCACTTTTACCTGAATAGGATCAGAACAATGGCCGTTAGTTCCAGTACGAAAACATACAGGCCGTCCTCTAACAGAAAGGATATCAGTTGGTTCTCTGGGGTACAGGTTTGTTATACTGGATGGATGGATGGATGGATGGATGGATGGATGGATGGATGGATGGATGGATGGATGGATGGATGGATGGATGGATGGATGGATGGATGGATGGATGGATGGATGGGCCTTAAGCAGCGGGGAGTAAGTTTGGAAATGAAAATAATTTACATACTTTTTAAAAACTGGAACATTTTTATATCAAATTCTTGTAATTTCCAGTTTGTGTAAGAACGATGGAGAATCACCAACAAATCCCTGATATCCAGCTTCTTCTGGACACATCCTCGTCTCCATCCTTGCTGTCTAAACTCTAAGGCAAGGTTGAAATATCACCTGATTTTCTCTTCAAACTTTTCCCTGACAGCGTCCTCCCTCATGACCAACTGTGACATCAGCATAGGATACCCTAACCTTGGTTTTGGACCACAGAACCATCTTGGCCTTACAATTTCTAGCGGACCTGTAATATGCTGGCCTACATCTAGCAGCATTTGCCTTGCTTAAAGGAATAGTACACCCAAAACATGATTAGCCTTCATTTTCTACTCACCCCCATGCTGAACAACACTCTGGAGTACTTTTTTGATATCTCAAATGCATCTGGAGATCTGGGAGGCTTCTTGCTGTCTGCTGACATTCAAATAATGGAGGTGCCCAGCGCCCGAGGCAGAAAGGTCCATAAAAGTCCACAAAAAACGTTTCAATATTCCTCCATACTGCTCGTCCAATGTATTCCAAGTTTCCTGAGTGGGTAGCATCCAGAATTTACTCGAAACGAAGTCATTTAGAATGTTTTTAGAGCATAAACAGTAGTGTATAGGATTTTCTGAAAGCGCGCACATGCGCGATCACGACGCTACGGAAGCCGGCAGACCAAACCAGCGCATTCAGCTCGGCAAAGAACTCCTGCTCTTCCTCAACACTGAAGTCCTCAGACATTTTTCTTTCGTTGTTTCTTTCTTTGCACAGGTAAACGGCACATTTCTTCTTCTACGCTTGCATTATTGGAAGAGCAGACGCTGAATGCGCACTTTCATCTGGTTTGGTCTGCCGGCTTCCGTAGCGTCGTGATCGCGCATGTTCGCGCTTTCAGGAAATCCTATACACTACTGTTTATGCTCTAAAAACATTCTAAATGACTTCGTTTCGAGTAAATTCTGGATGCTACCCACTCAGGACACTTGGAATACATTGGACGAGCAGTATGGAGGAATATTGGCACGTTTTTTGTGGACTTTTATGGACCTTTCTGTCTCGGGCACCATAGACCTCCATTATTTGAATGTCAGCAGACAGCAAGAAGCCTCCCAGATCTCCAGATGCATTTGAGATATCAAAAAAGTACTCCAGGGTGTTGTTCAGCATGGGGGTGAGTAGAAAATGAAGGCTAATCATGTTTTGGGTGTACTATTCCTTTAATTGACGTGATGCCACCTGTCATTCAATTCTAGAGGCCAGTCAGCAACTGACCAATCAGCATTCTTCATTTGTCCTGCATTGAAAGGCAAGGGCTTTAAAAAGGGACACAGCCTTATATAGGTGATAAAGACATGCCTCTTCTCATTGATGTAGGCCTGCTACATTTACTCAACTATAAAAGTATAAAAAAACTTCACTCATAGCAATCAAAACTGCTTCCATTATTAACCTTCCTCTGATTTTTCTGTCACTGCGTTAAGATAACTTTCTCAGCTTCATGTAGAAGAAAAAAATTGGCCATTTGGACCCGTTTTACTTGCAAGTAATGAATGTCTACATGTAGCATGTCTATATGTGACACTAGTTGAAAATAATAGTATATAAAGAAAATGTCCTGGATTCATGGTGGTATTTATGGTGTAAGAAAATAAAAACATCTCACATGCGTCACTAAAAACAGACCAACTATATCAATAAAATAACTTTAGAATCTACCCGTAGAGAACAAAAGTCAAAAAATTTCATTTGATCAAAGACAAAAGAAACAACTACTTTGGAACATAATTTCTTTTCTTCCCCCCCAAAAATAATGTATATATATATATATATATATATATATATATATATATATATATATATATATATATATATATATATATATATATATATATATATATATATATCAGAAATAAGGTCTCAGTTATCGGTGAGGCCTACAGATGGCGCTCACAGATTCCAAGAGCAGACTTGGCAGACCCACCCACCAGCAGTGGGTGAAACTGTAAATAGCTTGTTCTGGTTGTTCAGTTGTGACCACATGTCTTTTGTCTCCCATGTCAGCTGTATGTACCCCCCACCCCCCCTCCATGTGATAACACCAGCCCTGAGCCCACCTGTGACACCAGCAGAGCCTCTGCAGAGCATTACCAAACGGCTGGTTAGATTTTAAATACCCAACACAACAAAAGACACAGAAACAAGAAGGTAAACTGTCAAAACAAAGAAGGTGGAGGCATTTAAGTAGTGCTCAGAATTGGATAAGCTAGCCACCATTTTCTTTGGCTTCATACAGTTACGACTAGTTGAAACAATCGTCTCTGAAGTGAATGAAGACCACACCCAGCCATGTGAAAGACGACAAGACGTTGCTGAGTTATACATCAGAGAGAGACAAGGGAGGGTGATCATCCTCTCTATATAATAATCAGAGGCTGTGCGTGGCACATGCCATACCGTTGAACTGTATACGCTGTAAGCTACGTACCTCTTTTTTGCATGAAACTGAAGAGGTCGTCCAGAAACTCTTTCCTTTTGGGGTCTCCATCCAGCTCGTAAAGCTGTGGAAACAGAGAGGAGAGACACGATCAAGCAACAGCTTGGACTTTTTTATGTCAAAAGTCATAAAACATTAGATTACAGAGAACAGAGTGTCCTACTATCACATAATCTATTTCCAGCTCTTTTACTTTGACCATCAGAGTCATGCTTTTATGACGAGAGAACATTATTTAAGGGAACCTATCGAGGAATTGTAGAGGCAGAAGAAATACAAATATTGAAATACAATTAAATCTCTGCCAGTCTTTTAATAGTTTTTTGCAAAGGAGTCAACACATTTAAAAACTCTTTTATTGAAACAAAAATACAAAGAAGCCGCAGCAACTAAAACTAAAAGGCAATGCTGTTTACAGACGATGGCACTGTGGTTGTACAGGTAGCATCTGGAGGACTGTCCATCTCTCAAATCCTAGATTATGAATCGTTCTGTTGATTCAAATCTATAAAAAATATATGAACTATCTGCTCAGAAAGAGTAACAAACAGAGAAAATAGAGAACTGTAGATGTTTTTGAACATAAGTGAAGAAATATATATTTGTGATATATTTCAAATGCAGCATATCTATTACCGTAATGAAGACTGCAGTTTGACCTCCTTTCCATTCACACGTCAGCTAACGTGTTGTGAGTAACCAAAGTGCAACTGAACTGGCTGATTGCTCCAATAGCATAATGCAGTTGGATAAAGCATTTTGATGATTGAGGTGTTTGGAGTGATCACAGTGGAGACACCAGTGAGCATAACAATAACACGGTCTGTCAGAACTGGAGCAGAAATAGAAATGCTTCACTTGAGTGCAACCGGAATTTTAGTCTTAGAGTTTTTTTTTTTAATCGTTGGGAGACAGGTTTGAAGTCCATAAGCTACCTTATGAACTCAGATCTTAGCTCTAAAATGTGACTTTTTTTATCCCTACTTTGGTTCTGTGGCAGCTATTACCTTATGCACTTTTGCATGAGTTCAGTAGTCCAAAGTAAAACCGTTGTTAGATTGGTAAAAATGAGGATAAATGCATTTCAAAAAAGATATCAAAATAAGAATAAGATAAATTTGGAATATAAAATGGGATTGGGTTTGAGATAGAAAAATTAAGAAATGCTGTGGACCAGTGTTAGTTGATGAGAACCTGATGTGGGTCCAGCTGCCGGCGGGGCCCTGGGCTCCGGAAAGTTCAACGAAAGTGAGCAGTAAAAGTGAGGCGCCCACACTGGGGGAAGTACAGTGGGCCCATTGAGCCTGTGGTTGTTTTTTTCCATTTGCAATGATAGTGAAATATCATGTTAGAGTTCATTCAATCCATCGCGCTCAAACTCAAGGAAAACACTAAACATGCAAAAGTGTGACTATCCTCAGGCTTCAGTCAAGATTTTAGCGACGCTCTGCACCGGGTAATTAGCACCAACAATATCACGCGAGTGTCTGAGCAAGGTCACACAGTTTCATAATGTTGTATTGAAAATAACCGGTTGTGAAAACACAATGTGCAACTGAGCACCACCGTACAAAACCACAGAAAATAAAACCTGAGCATATTATTACTAGACAGGCATCAGCACAACCCACAGCGAGCAGCAAAGCCACTGCGAAGCCTCATGATGCACTTTCCAACCGAGAGCGTTTGATATCACTTCAGGAAATCACTCACCTCAGCTCGGCGCCGACACAAACAGGCGAAAAGGACAAAAGCTTTAATCTGTTTTGCATGATAGTAGAATAGCTCTTGTTGGATTTTACTTTAAAGTAGGTCATCAGGAGGCATGTAGAGAGTGGACAACATTTGATTGAGAATAAACAAATGGAAAACATCAGTGACTTAGAAAAATCGGTTGTTTCTACCTTTCAGATTTAGTTATTAACAATAGATCAAAGGTAAATAATGCAAAGGCTGTTAGTTTGATTGACAAATGCAAAGAAAAATCAAATTCAACCCAATTAAGCTCTAAATTACACTAAATCAATTGATTTACTTATGCAAAAAACATTAACCAGCCTCCATGTGCCTCAACTTCCTCCTAATTTATCCAAGGAAAATGAGTTTGTCTGTCCTGCAAAGACAATTACTTGACATTTTCTAAAATGACTTTCTCAGAGAGAATGAAAATGAAACGACTGTCATCCGACGGCGACAGTCGTGGTTTCCTACCACTAGGTTTGCCCCTGAAAGTCACGTTCAGCCCTCATTAGTGACGCCAGGCGTCCGTAGGTTCTTTTTATCTAGTGGTCAAGAGGAACGGGGGCTGTGAGGTGGGTTAAAGTGGACGTGGCGGTGGGGGCGGGTGGGAGCCCACCTAATGTACAAGCCTGTGTGTTTGTATGTGTGTGTTTGGGGGGGTGGGGGGGGGGGGGGGGGGGTGTGTTTTAATTACAGGATGCAGTCATTTTGTGAAGTGCCGGGCCATAAATCTTAGAAATGAGCTCCCATCCCCCATGTTACTACATTTGTTACCTTTCCCTCTTCTCTCTCTCTCTCTTAATCACACCAATAAATATTTGCTCTGGGGTTTTGTTGGAGCCCACTCCCTCTAATCCACAGGATGTAGTGACACAGGATAAGAAATACAAACATCTTAAATATTCTAGGGACCGTGAGCCTGAAAACAAGCCAGTTATTGTTAACAGTAAAAGGTGTGATTCCCATGTGACTACTGTTGTCCGCAGTGATTTTGAAACTATCTGACAAGCAGCGTGTTGATCAGCGGGGCTGGTTCCTCGGCCACCCATTAAGGCTGCTTCATTTTGCAAAGAGTGAATCGTGCTAACGCTCACTAGCATTCTTACTCAAGCATATCAAGTTTCAGGTCTCAGTCAGGGTTAACAGGCTTGGGCAGAGTGCACTCCATCCAAATGCCTCTAGTTTTGTCTTTTTTTTTCTCCATAACCTCTATAGAAAGTGGGTCTTTAGCTGCAGAGATCCACATTACATCAGATGCTGACACACTTTATCTAGAGCTTTTAAACTGGTGTTCTTTATATGAGAAATGACAGGAGTCGTTGAGCAAAAACAGTAATTATAAAATGCGTGTGCAAGACCCAGTGTGGGGCGCCATTGTGTTGTTGAGGTTACCAGCATCACATGACAGTCCAAAAATATTACAACCAATACTGTGACAGCAGGGGAAGCGCTCCAGCAGCCCTTCACAGAAGGAAGCTGCTATAGAAAATGATCAGATACGTGAATAAACAGTTCAACAGAGAGATCACCTACAAGGAAAGGAGGAAAATGTTGGCTCTCCTAGTAAAGATATGAAGGCCTTGAAATTAATACCTTTCTATTGCAGCATCATTTTATGGCCTCATCTGACATTTGGGGCAATTTAATATTGTCAGGGAGCCTCTAATTAGTATTCCATGAGTTTGTTTAATCAGGGTCAGATATAATATTACACAGAGCTGGATGACGGCTCAGGTTTGTCTCTCTATTAGGAGAGCAAGACGCAAAAGGAAATAAACACAATTCCCATAAATCTCTGCTGAAGACCTTAAGAGATACATATTAGGCTCTTTAATATCTAAGGCAAAAAGACTTTGGAAGGTATGCAAAAAAAAAAAAATTACAAACACAAACATTTATAGTTTGCTAAACTGTATCAGGACTTCAATTGGAATGGCAGCTAATTAGAGGCTCCAGATGGGTCTGGAGGCGACAGCTGGGACAGCTTAGTGGAAAAACACCACATGCCCACTGTGAAGCACAGCAGAGAATTGGTGATGCTGTGGGACTATTTCTCATCTAAAGATACTGGAAATATTTTGTTAGATTCAAAATTACCATAACATCTTAAAGAGAACTCTGATGGCCTTTCATCCCCCCACCCCCGACCTTCATATGAATCTATCAGGGTAGGGAGGGCGGCTGCCAGTCCAGATTGGAATAAACTAATGCAGAACTTTGAAAGGGATGAAAGGCTGCACCCAGTGACAGGTTAAAAGAAGGATCATTATTAGGAAATATAAATCAGGCAGTCTATTTAGAGCCCTGCCACTGTAAGAGTCGATATAAAGTGGTCAAAAGGCCGTTTGTAGAGGAGCTGCGGAAGTGGGATCGTTGTGGACTGAGCAGAACAAAGTTGGCTGTTGTCGTCGATGTCGTAACTGTATATGTAAAATGTAACACAAAAAGCAGCCAATAGGGATTTTTTTCAACCGGGCAGCACCTCTATCGCACCACGCCCCTCGCTGTTCAGCTTTGTTAGTCCTACGCGCTATATATCCGTCTTTATTGACCTCTCTCTATCGGCTTTCTTTTTTCACTCCTTGTTGTGTCTCTATTTGTCCTATGTCTCCTATCAGCTTTTCTCTCTTTGTCTCCTTCCCTCTCTCAGTCCCATGTATATAATCCTTGTGTACATTACACTCGTGACCCCCCTCACCCCCCACCTTGCCTTCAGCACGGCTGCTACCACCCAACAAAATGACTTTTATCAGGCTTACGTGGGTGTGGCCGCTATACGTTTTTCATGTCTCTGTTGTAAGAGAGCTGGGACACCCCAACCCCACCCACCCCCTGCTTTTAGGTTCAACTTGTCAGATAAACAATAAGAAACTAGATAAACGACATGAAACTGGGCCAACTGGTAACGCAGGGTTCACACACCTTGATGAAATCCTCGAGAACAGGGAGTAAAGAGAAAAACAAAACAGAAAATAAGTTCTGCGCTTTAGAAAACTTCAGAAAAACACAGATAAAGACTCTAAATCATATGATCTGGTGAGAAGTTAAATAGATCAACTCAAAATTACCCCCTACAGCAGATATGTGTTATGATGACAGGGCAAAGTTAATCCAGCCAGACTTTAGATTTCACAACTTCTGATAAATAATCATTTGGTGTCTGTTGTCTGATAGTTCCAGGTTGTATGTAGGTCAGCGACTGAACGTCTGCAGATAAATTATAAACAGGCCTTATAGTGCAAACAATCAGTAACCAAAGAGCAGCCTTTACGGCCTCAAAGGCAGCAGAGGTAGGTAACAAAACGTATGTGTGTGTGTTAGATT